GTGGCTCAATGTATCCCTGTGTGTCCTGTAAGCAGCCAGTAAATGGTCTATCCTTGCAATGTCACTTGGGCTGCATAAGGTGAGGAGTCTCAAAGGAAGAATGAGTTTCCCACCTACAATAACACCGAGCAGAGGAGTTCAACACGGCTCTGGAGCTTCACACTGAAAGGACACAAACTTGTACACAAAACTTCCCATTAAAAGTCATAGCTTGAAAGTCCATTGTATTCATATGTACCAGCAGTGAACAACTGGGATTTGGAATTTAAAAATCATGCTATAATCTGATTTCATTCACAAAATATATATAAGATGGCAGTACATATATTGGATGTAGGAAGCAACCAAACTTTTAAAATATGACCATGCTAATTTGGATACAATTTAAAGAACACTCTCAAGGTTTATCATAACAGATATTTAACACAAACACAGTTAAGAAGACGTAAACGCAGAGGTGGCAACCAAAATGCAGAACATGATCAGTTTAGACCTCTTGTTCTTCCCCAGAGACAAAAATGGCTTATTTACACAATGCTGGTAACTTCTTGTGTTGATTACCTTACTTTTTTCTTATCTTTGTTTTTTTAATAAATAGCCAGATGAAAAAAATTTCCCTCTGTTTTTGAAAAGTCAGAGGATTGCTGGCAGGAACTGAGGTCTCATTTTTCTAGTTTCTATGTCTGTGTTAGGGTGAACTGTTTAAGTGGATGCCATGCTGAGCCCTGCAGATCCTCCTTGAGAATGAAGGATTTCTTCCCCGATGGGTGTGCTGGCACCAGAAGGCACTCAGTTGACGTCCATCTTCAGAATTGCCTCTGTGGAAAAGGGCCACTTTACTCAAGACCATGACCTATTTCCTGGGCAGCCTGCGTTCAGCAACTGGTTGATGCAGCCATGTAAAACCTGGCCTTCTCCTGTTTGCACATCTATGGGATGTTTACCAGGGGCAGAGTGGCTGCGCCAGGGGAGGGGTGGAGGTGAAATACCCATTCTCTCCTCTCCTCAGTTCCTGGTACGCAATTGGTCAGGCGGCCACCAGTCACCAGAGACCAGCTTGGGTTGCCCCCAGTACTCAGGGTGTGGAAGCAGAGGGCCCCCAGGAGAGTGGGGGGAGTGCTGTGAGCCGTGGAGCCCTGGTGCTCCTGGAAGATTAAGCCAGAGCACTGGAGCAGAGGGCTTGGAGAGCAGAGAAGGGAAGCCAGGAGGGAGAACTGGGAGAGGACAAAGCAGATGAGAGACTTGAGACCTACTGCATGAGAATAAAAACCCCCTTTTAAACCCCCCCCCAAAAAAACCTGGCCTTCTCGCCTTCACTGGGGACAACTTTCCCAGGTCCTGTCAGCTCCAGAGCTCCACAGGCTGGCCAAGGCCTTGCTGGAACTGCATCCAGCTCAGCTTCTCTCTCTGCCCAGCCTCCTTCCCTCCCTTTGCTTCCTCAGGTGTTGATCCCAAAGGCGTAAGTTCAGCTGGGGGAATGTCACTCCTGGCTGAGTGTCCACTTCCCAGCATGAACTTGACATTCGGGGAGGAAGAGCACAGATCTTTGGTGGGCAACTGGCCCTTCTGCTACACTGGTTCTACAGGCCACAGCCTTGAAACCCATCTCACAAATAATACAAGGAGGCGAAGCTGTGCATCTTCCTCACGCAGATTCAGGAAGTGGATCAAAGAACAAAGAAGGCGTTTTGGCAGCCTGGCAGGGAATGTGTCTGAAATTCGGGTGGGGCTTTGGGAGACCACAGGGGGCAGGATGGCAGCTGCTTAGCCCACTGTTCAGTCTAATCCCCTGAGCTGTCCTGTCCCTGGTACCATGGTCACACTGTTAATTAAATCACTCTCATTAATTCAGCCTGAGTGTAAATTAGGAAGGAATGAAGATAAATTAGGTTTGAAGACAGCTAATACATTTAACCCCATGCTGCTTATTTTGCAGCCTAACAAAATAATGTTAAGGGAGATAACAAGGCCAAAGCTTTGGGCACAGCTTCTTAATAGCATTAAAAATGAGACCTTGGTTTGGTGTCACAAGGCAGAGGCGAAGACCAGCTCCCACGGGCCTATAGGACTGGCCTAACATCTTGAATCAGGTGGTGGCTGTTGTACAACACAGATGTCCGTGGCATCTTCTGAGTTGTTTGTGATTCAGATGTCTACTGTGTCATCACTGTCCAGTTTGATTGCAGGCTTGTCTAGAGTGTTCTTCCTGTATACAACCTGCCTTTTCTTCCTGTGTAAATTCTTCCTGATAAGAGCTACTTGTGTAAAAATATTCCTGATAAGAGCTACCTTTAGGATTGACTGAGATGCTGGAGAAATAACACAGTCTGCATTGCTGTGATCATAAATTTGCTAACTTGCAAAAACTCATTCAGCTGTGGAAATAACCATCAGAAACTGCATATAGTCCTGAAAAGTTTTCCTACATTGGTTTAACCAAACCAGTGCACAGCTTGTAGGAGGTCATAGGCAGCACACACATTTTCCCCCAAATGCAAGTTTAGTTCCTGTGTCTCTCAGCAGGAAAATGTTTTCCAGTTTTTATAATTTATAAAAGCTAATTTTTCCCCCCTGCCTCACATTGCTGATCTCCCTGAGGCAGAGGAAGCAAACATCTATGGTCACTGAATACATTTCAAGATTTCCCAGGCTATAATGTTTTTTCCTTCTTTTCTCTTGAAGCACAGAAAGATGGAACAGACACAGGAAAGTGGCATGAGTGGATGAGGATACAGTGGCCAGAAGGTCCCTGCCTGCTTAGCAAAGCTATTTGCAGAGAAGAAAACTTTGCTGCCCCCTTGGTTAAGGACACCACAGGTTCCAGGTGGTGAAGATACAACAGAAAGACTGCCTGCTCCTAACTCAGTGGCTTCCTCTGACAAATTCCCCAGCCAACCAACGGAGTGTGCACATATTTTATTTACAGGCAGGGCCCTGCAGACCTAGGTAGATCTTTTGAGTGACTGAAAAAGCAACTACTTCTCCGTAGTGAGAAACAGTGTTAATTTCTTAATTTAAATAGAATCATTTCCCCAAAAGGAAGACGTGAGCATTTGGTCTTCAAAACCAACGTGCTTGCTTTTGACCCAAAACCTAGAGGCACTCTACAAGGTGCCTTTGAGGTCGCCCAGATCAGCTTTCCGCGTACACCTGCCACAGGCTACAGAAACATGTTTGTAAAAGACACATGTGCAATACCTACACATTTCCACCTTCCCTCTTTTCAGCACCTCTCTGGCGTCTACAGCGTTTCTCTCAGTTTGTTCTTCAGTGATTTTATCCGCATCTTTGGGAACAGGCTCCGAGACGCCATCCCGGAGACGCTCCGGGAGTGTCCGCGGAGTGCGGATCGTGAGGCCAAGGCGCAAGGCTGGCAGAGTGCCTCCCTTCACCGTGCCGCTGGCAGAATCGCCGCACATGGTTCTTATGGTGAATTTAAGCAGCTCTCTCCGGCTCGGTGTACAGTCTCAAGCCCAAGACTCTGCATAAGAAACTAAAATATGAAACAGACGTGTAAAGGCTCATGGTGAGGCTGATGAGTTAATGCTAACAAAGGACTTAAGAGGGCACTGTCTTTCTTTGTTTGGAAGAAGCAAAATTTCTCAGAGCTCATACCAGGAGGGACAGCGGGTAAAGAAAAGTGGGATTAAAATAAAGAACCAACAGTCTTAGTTTCAGCAGGCTCTGGATTCTGGGAGCGCCAGGCATAACCTCCTGCTTAAGCCATTTCTGCGTCTAGTATTTAAAAGCCGAGAGGTGGGGAAGTGGGGATGGGAGAGAACTCCGTCGAGAATCCCCACTCGACCAGCAGGGCTGGGCAACTGCTAAATGGCTGTGTAATCTTGAACTGGACAAGTCACATCTCCCCAGGCCTAGTTGGCTAGCCTGTAAAACGAGGGGGCTGGACCGGTAATCTCTACAGTTCATTCATCGATTTTTTTTTTCCCCAAATACCTAATAAAAAACAGGCATTTTAGTTCCCAGTGGAAAGACAAACCCTTAGTGTAAAGATCAAAAATGGGTTTCGTGAATAGTGATCGCCGTGCAAGATTATTTTTTGAATTGCCTTCCTTTCTCCCGGCACGCGGCACTTCAAACATGCATGTGATGGGCCGTTTCTTTGCTGAACTCCCGACCAATGCAATCGAGCGATAAAAGACAGGAAGGGTCCAGTCTGAGAGGGCGATTCAGGCTTTATCGCTTGGGAGAGGGGGTGTTGTGGTCGCTCCTTTGAGCAGTTTTCTTTGACTCAGGCGGCTGCGGCGATTGGCTGCCAAGCACACGGTGCGAGCCCCGCTGCAGAGCGGGGGGCTGCAGCTGCACAGTGCGGCTGGGGGCAGAGTCCGGCCTGGGGTACCGCACCCGGGGTGGGAGAGAGGACACAGAGGAAACGCCTGGGGAAACCCTCCGGCCCGTCTTTGCGCAACCTTCAGCGTCCCGGAGTGTCCAAACGTGTGTCCTCTTCCTTGTCACTGGTCTCCCTCCAGGTGTTCTACCCAGAGCGCGGGCTGTGCGCGCCTGGACGCGTGACACGGACACCCAGCTCTCGCCAGGCTACTCTCTCCTGAGCATCTCAAGGGCCCCCTGCAGCACGGAGCGCACCGCCAGGGGTGCGTTCCCCCGCCCAGGGTCCCTCAATCCCGGGACTTTGTATTAACCAGGCTGGGCCAGAGAGGCGCCGGAACTCTGACCCGGGAAAACTTATTTTATTCGCGGTCCCTGAGGGCTGCAGCTGCTAGTAGCGGAGATACTGCGACCGCTTTGTCTCCACACCCTCCGCAGCCCCCTCCCCCGCTTCCTCTGCCAGTTAACTCCCCCGACACGGTCTTCTCCAGCCAGTCGCGTTTTCCTCCAGCCCCTCCGCGAGCCGCGTGCACGCGCTTCCTCCCTCCCGCCCCGGGTGTCACTCTCTTTGCATACGCGCCCTGCCCTCCCCTCCCCTGCCCTCCCCGCCGCGCAGCGCCGCTTATAGCCCGGAGCTCGGCAGCGGGGCGCAGACTGCTGGGGCAGCCGGAGGAGGAGGCGGCGCGGCGGTGGCGCTGCGGTGACCGAGTCCAGACGCCAGGCGGCCGCCGGCGCACAAGGCGCTTTCTAGCTCCCTCCCCCGAGTGCGCAGCCCGCCTCCTTCCGCGGCGCCTGCAGCCGCAGGCTTACTCTCGCCTCCCGAGACGCCGTCCCCGAGACGCCCCGGGGGTCGCGGCATCGTGTCCGCGGCGTGCGGATCGTGAGGCCAAGGCGAACGGCCAGCGGTAGCGGGTCTGCGAGCCAGCGCCCCGGGCTAGGTCCTCTCCCGCCCGGTGATCCAGGCAAGAACCCAGCTGGTTGTGCTCTGAGGCCAGTGTCGCCGCTGCTGTAAGTTTCCGCCACTGGCCCGGACCTGTTGCGGGCGCCGTGGCTTCCGGGACTGCTTGGCCCGCGGGGGTTGTTCGCGAGGGTTGTGCGCTCGCCCCTTAGCCCCGAGGTCCGACTTCGGCAGAGGAGGGGAACGGGTTTGGGGGCGGAGACCTCGGTGTCCGTCGCTGCCCTCCCATAGCAGGCGGGAGCCGGCGCAGCGCCCAGGCGAGCTGCTGGGGGAACCGGGAACCGGCCCAGGGTACGACCGAGGTCCTTCCCCCGCGGAAACCAGCGCTTCCCTGGAGGTGGAGGTCCCGCTGCCTCGCACTTAGCCACGCTTGGCCCGTGCCGAGCGTGCGGGATTGTTGGCCCACGTTGCACCCCAACCGGCATCTTGGTGGCCACGCGCAGACACTCCTGATGAGGGCGCGTTCACTGCGGCAAAATGTCTCTAAGGAATGAATGAAAACTGGCTTCTGAAAAATCTGTTTCTTCCCTTGCAAGTATTTGACCTTTAGCGTGAGACTTCAGTTTCGAAGAATAGGACTTGGTGGTCGGGGTGCGAATGAACCACTGAACTTGTTCCGCATGTAATTTGGTGTCGCCCTCATAGGCATGGCAGCGTTTTATAAAAAGCCTTGAAGTGTTACAGAGGATTGTATTGTAAAGTGCTTTTCTTGGCAACAGTATCTTTATAATAAAGTTCCATTGTTACCAAAACGTGAATGCCCGAGAAAAATGCGCCTAATTTCTCCTTTGATGCATTGAGATCAGGTCCAAAACCTAAAGAGATGTGACAGAACCCCAAGTATTGGAGGCAGAGCACCTTGTTAAGGAGCATTAAGCGAACCGAAGTTACTGTAACCAGAAGCCCTTTTGATGTTCAGAGTAATAGCAGCTCTTTTCTCCGCCTTCTTTGTAGATGCAAGTTAAGTATATGTGTGTACTTTGTGGGCCACTTTCTTGGCATGCGAATATAATTTCTCTAGGGGCTTAAAAAATGCCTACAGATAATTCATTTAATGTTGAAGGTATGTTTAGTGACTGTGTAAATGGTTTCTGCTGATAATTTGATGTTTGCATAATTTTAAACCAGAAAGCAGGTTGTTTCCCTTGGGTTTTCAAGTTTATCTTTTATTTTAAGCAGATAGCGCTGCAAGAAGTTTGGATTTTAACTGTGATGTGCTTCCCGGTCTGGATGGTAGGCTAGGCTATTTTTTTCTGGTTTTATGGGCCAACCTGGAACATACAGGGCATAAGCACAGGACGAATGGAGATGGAGATCCTATATCCTAAGGTCTTCTAAAACGGCTGTTTTATTAAGTGTACACCTGGTTGTGAATGTTGTTTCACACTGCCCAGAATCCAGTGCCTAGGGAAGCGTGTTCTGGACCTGGTGTGAGTCCAGCTCGATATGCAGGCACTTTGGAGCTTATGCGCCTTGGGTGGGGAGACTTGTTCTTTAGTTAGAGCAGAAGGGAGTCAGCTTTTGAGGTTGTGCTTTGGAAGTATTAGCTTAAAAAAAAAAAAAAGCACAGCTATTCATTAGGAATTTTTGTAAATTTCTGTATAAGGCATAAGAGTATTTACTATCTTGTAAGACTTAGGCTAAAAATCTTCCCCCAAATACCTCAAATTGAATGTACTGATAATTCAAATGACAACTACAGTGGTAGAGTGTCAGGGATGCTAATATGTGTTTTTTTTGAAACCTGGTGTGTTCGCATAGGGTCATGTTGGCAGTTCTGGAACAGCGGACAGTGGTTAACACGGGCTAGACTGTAGAGGCTTAGCCTGAGGTGGGGGTGGCGCTCGGCTCCTTACCCTTTGTCAGGTCCCAAGTTTCTGTGGAGACTAAGGGGTGCTTTGTAAAGTCTTCCCAACACCAGAGCCCTAGGACTGACTTTGTTGCTTACTTTCTTCCATGTTTACTCATAATGAAAAGTTACATTCCAAAAATAAAGGAAAACAAGTTGCATCAGCTAATGGTATGTGGACAGTGTGTCAAAGAAGTTGGGCACCTGCCCTTGTTTTCTGTGCTGTGCCACAGCTGGTCAGGAGAAGGGCAGCTTAGCATCTAGCGCATGGACCTGTGGTAAATCACTCATTTCTATTTATTAATTACCAGGATAAAAATTAAAGAAATAAATATCTGGTGGAAGGAAACAAGGCCGCTATCAACTTCAGCTGTGCTGAAATGACTGGCTGTTCTGTGGTTGGAACAGATACTGTAACTAGGCAGCTAACCATCCTGGGGTAAACAGCTTCCTTAGGAATCTTTTGACAGGCAAGTTCTGAAGGCTTTATACCTCTTAAGTAACAGAAAAGTAGGACTTAAAAGGTAGGGGAATGTGATTCAGTTTTTGAAGATAAGTGATAGGCATTTTTCTGTATCTTTAGCCTACAGTTTACCTACAGAAGCCCAAAACAGCTTAGATTCTGCTTTAATTTCAATTTAGGTTCAGAAGGAAAGTACTTTAGTCAGCAAATAAATTCTACAGCAGCCCTGAATAACAATGGCTGGCATAACACATATGCATACGTACATACACACGCATATGTGTTTGTATCTTTATTTAAATAAAGCAATGTTTTCATTTAGAACTCTCTATATGCATATGCCAACATTTTGCAGTTACACAGGAATGGTCCTGGTGAAGTGCTGTTAAATCAGAGGCAAGGAATAGGTGGATCCTTTGTCCTTACGATTGGTTTTCCAAGAATTGATATAAAGCAGTAAGAACAGAAAAGCAGCACTCAGAGGAGTATGCTACTCAAAATAGCCTTCCTTTTATGTGCCCAAATCCTCATTTTGGAAACTGTCCAGAGCAAGAAATGTGGGTGGTGATTGTGGCCAGAATCTCCTGTGCTTTCATGAAAGCCTGCTGATCAATATATGGTAATGTTTACACTGGGGCTCTTTTACAGCTCTGGAGTGGTGGAACTGTCTGTTTAGAAATTATTTGTAACATTTAAGTCAAGGTCTGATCTTTGCAGAGGTTGACCTAAGCCTGTGATTTTAGTGTCATATTTCCCATTTACTGTATATGCAGGGAGACTGGATCTTACTGAAGGAATTCTTAATGGAATTAATTAGTAGGTATTTGTTTTACACATGGTTTTATGTTGCATAGAGCATAAAAGCCGGTGCCCATCCTGGCGTTACGAGAGCTGGCGGCCTGGCACTTTAAGTGCCCACAGTGAATCAGCTGGGCAAGCAGAGGTTGCTGTGAGAGTGAGACCTTGCTTCTCTTGGCTTTTGCTGACTTATATTCTCAAGGACTTCAATATCCTGAAAGTTGGCAATCAGGTTTTCCAAGATGAACCTGCTTTGAAGCAGTGAATTTTTTTTAAACAGTGTACAGTTCAAACAGTTCAACAGTATTACAATGAATGCCTTTCCTTATAGGTAGTTATCTCTAACTTTGTACAGGAACAGCCTGATGGCCATTCAGAGCTGCAGGCAGCAGGGCTGACCCGTGGAAGCGTCCTGTTTTCTCTCTCCAGGATGGTTGTTGCTTTATTGCTCTTTTCTGCTGTTCTGAACATCAGGGGTATCACGTCACATTTGGTGATTTTGTTTTGATTTTTTATAGGAGTGGAAACACAATGTCCGTCAGCGTGCACGAGAACCGCAAGTCCAGGGCCAGCAGTGGCTCCATTAACATCTATCTGTTCCACAAATCTTCCTATGCTGACAGTGTCCTCACTCACTTGAACCTTTTACGCCAGCAGCGTCTTTTCACTGACGTCCTTCTCCATGCGGGAAATAGAACCTTCCCTTGTCACCGGGCAGTGTTGGCTGCGTGCAGCCGCTACTTTGAAGCCATGTTCAGTGGCGGCCTGAAAGAAAGCCAGGATAGTGAAGTCAACTTCGACAACTCCATCCACCCAGAAGTGCTGGAGCTGCTGCTCGACTATGCGTACTCCTCCCGGGTCATCATCAATGAAGAAAATGCAGAATCGCTTTTGGAAGCTGGCGACATGCTAGAGTTTCAAGACATCCGGGATGCATGTGCGGAGTTCCTGGAGAAGAACCTGCATCCCACCAACTGCCTGGGCATGCTACTGCTGTCGGACGCACACCAGTGCACCAAGCTGTATGAGCTCTCCTGGAGGATGTGTCTCAGCAACTTCCAAACCATCAGGAAGAACGAAGATTTCCTTCAGCTGCCCCAGGACATGGTAGTGCAGCTCTTGTCCAGTGAAGAGCTGGAGACAGAAGATGAGAGGCTTGTGTATGAGTCTGCAATTAACTGGATCAGCTATGACCTGAAGAAGCGCTACTGCTACCTCCCAGAGCTGCTGCAGACAGTGAGGCTGGCTCTCCTGCCGGCCATCTATCTCATGGAAAATGTGGCCATGGAGGAACTCATCACCAAGCAGAGGAAGAGCAAGGAGATTGTGGAAGAGGCCATCAGGTGCAAACTGAAAATCCTGCAGAATGATGGCGTGGTAACCAGCCTCTGTGCCCGGCCTCGGAAAACCGGTCATGCCCTCTTCCTCTTGGGAGGGCAGACTTTCATGTGTGACAAGCTGTATCTGGTAGACCAGAAGGCCAAAGAAATCATTCCCAAGGCCGACATCCCCAGCCCAAGAAAAGAGTTCAGTGCATGTGCAATTGGCTGCAAAGTGTACATTACTGGGGGGCGGGGATCTGAAAATGGAGTCTCGAAAGATGTCTGGGTTTATGATACCCTGCATGAGGAGTGGTCCAAAGCTGCCCCCATGCTGGTGGCCAGGTTTGGCCATGGCTCTGCTGAACTAAAGCACTGCCTGTATGTGGTCGGGGGGCACACGGCCGCAACCGGCTGCCTCCCGGCCTCCCCCTCAGTCTCTTTAAAGCAAGTAGAACATTATGACCCCACAACCAACAAATGGACCATGGTGGCCCCGCTCCGAGAAGGTGTCAGCAATGCCGCAGTAGTGAGTGCCAAACTCAAGCTGTTTGCTTTTGGAGGTACCAGCGTCAGTCATGACAAGCTCCCCAAGGTTCAGTGTTATGATCAGTGTGAAAACAGGTGGACGGTACCGGCCACCTGTCCCCAGCCCTGGCGTTACACAGCAGCAGCTGTGCTGGGTAACCAGATTTTTATTATGGGGGGAGATACAGAGTTCTCAGCCTGCTCTGCTTATAAGTTTAATAGTGAGACTTACCAGTGGACCAAGGTGGGAGACGTGACAGCAAAGCGCATGAGCTGCCATGCTGTGGCCTCTGGAAACAAGCTCTACGTGGTTGGGGGATACTTTGGCATTCAGCGATGCAAAACTTTGGACTGCTACGATCCCACATTAGATGTGTGGAGCAGTATAACCACCGTCCCATACTCTCTAATTCCTACTGCATTTGTCAGCACTTGGAAACATCTACCTTCTTAAACTCAGTACAGCCTAAAGAAAGTGAGCATGAGGTAAGAAGTCAGTTTGGCTGTAAGTATGTATGTAATTGAGCCAGTAGGTAAGTTTGTATGTGGAGTGAGACATCCATATAGCCTGTCCTGTAGAGGTACTACAAAAACTATGAAGATAGAATAACTTACACCCCAAAACTTAAACAATTGTGTTCACCATAGCTGTAACTCCTCAAAACTTAAGACAGTGGTTCTCAGCCTTTTCTGAGCCTCAGAGTCTCCCAAAGAGCTTTTCAAAAACTGCCCATCCCAGAGACCTGATTTCACTTGGTCTGGGTGGGGCCCAGGCATCAGCATTTTTAGAAAGTTTTCCAGTGATTGTCCTGTACAGCCAGACCGAGAGCCCTGACTTCTTTTCATAATGCCAGCTAACGTTTACTGAGCTCACCCTGGGTGCCTGCAGCTGGCTGTGTGTTTCACGTAGGTCATTTCTTTTGATCCTGACAACAGCCTTGTGAACTATCATACAAACAGCACTTTATAGATAAAAACACCCGTGCACACAGAGGTTAGGGTGAGTTGTCCAAGGTCATAGCACTTAGTAGGTGGAAGAGTCGGTCAGGAAATCAACCCAGGCTGTCTGGCTCCAGAGCAGGAGCAATTGAGAGTCATGCTGAACTACCACTTAATAAACTTGATCTTTATATTGACATCAGCCCAGGAGACATTTGTTGATATTTAAATTTAGCTTCCTCAAATCCTTTCTGAAATAAAGTAGGGCTTGAAGAATTGAAGGCTTATACTTATTTTTTCTCTCCAAAATTGTTTACTAGCTTATTTAACATTCTCCTCAGAAGAAAAAAAAAAAGAGAGAAAAGCTCCCTTTAGGGTATTCCTTAAGTTCAGAGGGAAATCGAGGTTTGTCCTTGTAAGAGTTTGCACCTGCATTGTGTGAATTTGTCTGATGTGTGGATGCACTGAACCACCACTGATACTGTCCCTCATCTGCAGCCTTTCAGAGTCTATCAGACAGGCTGACCCTGTTGTCAGGGCTAACAAAAGTTGTGTTTCTGTGTCATATATCTGAGCACATAATGGTTGTCTTGTGTACTTAAGAGTATATTATACTCTTGCCTCGAATAATTAATAGGCCAACACAGTTCAGTGTTGGAGACGCTAATAGCCGCTTTGCTGCTGTTAAGCGCTCTTAGTATTGGCCCCAGGAATCACTTAATTGTGTCTGAGTGTAACAGAGCACACAGAATGTGTTGATTTGTTTTGGTTATTCATGAGCTTATTGCTAATGATAAAAGAATAAAATTAAAACTCTGCTTTGGAGGAACTGCAATAGAAACTAACTCATTATTTGGAACTTTTGCCTCCTTTTCCCCTAGAATGTTTCACACCTTTGAAGGGGACTTTCAGAGGGAAGATGGGAAGTCCAGGGGTCATTGGAAGCTGAAGCAAAGAGGAGTTTTGCTTCATTTGTCTCTTCTTTCCTCTTACAGCTCACTTAAAAACTGCTGAAATTGGTCTCACTTTCACAATTAATCTATTTTTTTTTCATTTCTTCAGTTATCTCTTCCAGCTTATTACAGTCAGTAGAGTTCTTAGTACTGTATGTTTCCTTGGAATGAAACTCCTTCAGAAGAGCAGGAACAGTCAGAAACCTCTGGGGAGCACCTGGGCAGACAGCGTCCCACACCAGACTGGTTTTTGCGGCCCTGCTGGCATCTCAGTAATCCTGAATAAACAAATGCTCTGAGAGTGGTTATTTCATTTGCGATATGAATGCATGACTCACCTCTAAAGCAGGTTTAAAGAACCTCCTAGGCAAAAGCATCAATTAACAGCAACTAAGTTGGGTGTTAGTCCAGAGCTGTCTGTATTTGTATAGGAGAGCCATAAAATCACCAGTGATGGTGGCAGTACATCAGGGTGGTAGCTGGTACACCGACTGGCATGTTTGGGGCAAGTAAGGAGGTTGAGGCAGGACGTGGCCACATGTGCTTTCTGATTCCAGTTCTAAACTTTGGAGGCTGGACCTTTGTGGAATTCAAATTGCTCCTTGGTCAAATTGGAGTGATTGGAATTATGCTTCCCCTAAGATCTGTCCTGATTTAGACTTGAGTGAATTGATAAAGGAGGGGAGAAAAAAGAGGAAGGGGTGAAAATAGGTCCCAGGGCCACCCTCCACATAAGACCTTGGCTTGCAGTGGAATTAGCTTTATATATGGTGGGAAAACGAGGTTGCTTTGATTATCATCTTGTTATCTTTAAACTTCGTTTTTGGTGTCTCTCTTCTCAGCCCAGAGTATGTTGCGGCAAACACTTGAATTCACTCTATCCTGGGTATTTGAACCTAATCGCACACTTCTGGCCCCTGGGAAATGGAGCAAATAAAGTATTAGGTTGTATGGGAAATGACATCCCCCCAACCTTAGTGCTTCCAGCCAGAGAGCTAAGCACGTAACATTTGACAGGGCCAGGTTTTGCCTTTTGGAAGCGCAGCGTGGGCCTGATCAAAGCCACACTTGCAGTTTCCGACAGAGTGTTGGTTTAAATTTCTAAAGTTTACCATACACAAGATAATGTTAAAACACATCAGCTGGATGGAGTGACTTGAAAGAGGTGCTGTGCAGGCTTCAGTCCTCAACTGCAAAAACTTCCGTGACATCTCTTTGCTCTCCAAGTGGAGGTGCTGACTGAATTACTACAGTGTTAACAGAGTTTCCCTCGGTCTAAAAGCTCACCCACCAGAGAACTGAACTGTCTGTCTCCTGCTTCTCTGACATTGGGAGGACGGAGAAAAAGGAAATTACTTTTGATTTACCGTCCATTTTATGGTGCTTCATGATCCCAACCTTACAGCAATTGGATTTTGATTTTCTTTGTTTCTTCCCTTTTTAGAGTTTTTCTCTTCTTTTTTTTCCTGCTTAAGTATGTAACATCTTAAAGTCTCATATTATTACAGGATACATTCTTTTGGCCTAATGTTGATATATAGGTTACAAGGAGGTGGAGGTGGGGGGATGACACTGTAGTGTAAGGAATGCCTTGAAAGCTTGAATCACTGTTACCAAACTGCCAAAAGAAACAACTGATGAAACCAATCAGACCTGAACACGCAAGCAAGAATAATGCAGTGCCACTACTGAGCGGCCCTTCCTGAATTCCCTTTGTCTGTACTTAGAGTCATAGGGAAAGAGATTGCTACATGAGGGCTGGGACTCTCTATGAGCAGACAGGGTGAGTGTTGGAAAGACAAAAGCCCTCTGCAAAATTTCCCCATTTATTTAAAGATAAATGCATAGAAATGGTGGATAATGTGTGGAAATTCCAGCTCCCATGAAATGTGCAGGCTTTGGGGTTATGGCACCTTAAATTTATATTCACATTTGATGTTGGTTGAGTCCATAGGTGGTAGCACTGCATACCAAGCTGGTGTCTCCCACATGTGGACAGATGAACTTGGAGAATAAACTCCAGCCTTGGGCTGTTGAGTGTCCTTTATGTTGCCCTGTGAAGGAAGTGAGACCCAACTTTGCCATAACGAAGAGCAGAAATGCATTTAAAATGAGGAGTAATATATCTGCCTCATATGGTAAATGAATTGAATTTGGAATCTTTTATGGTAAATGGGCCTAGAAGGAATGTTTTGATCTCTGGTGATCTTTTCACAGCAACTCTGTTTAACAACCACAGAGATGAATTGTGAATGTTGGAAGCAGGAGACAGCAACTTACCTAAGAGCCTGTAGGTATACAGGTTTGAATTTGACTTATGTGTGTTTAGGAAAGGACTGCAGATCCTTTGGACACCACTGTTCTTGTGGGACAAGCGGTCTGCATTCGGGTGCACATGCGTTTGAGAAATGCCTTGAAAGCTGTAACTTTAATCATCTTTGCACAGTTCCTACCGAACATGTATCAGACCTTTGGAAGCAATATTGACCAGCTTTGTCCTGAATTTGTTTATTTTTTTTATTTTGAGTCTACTAACAAAAATCTTTTCCTCTGTTTTAGCTCATTCTATCATTTGGTGAGACAAAATGATATTCTACTTTGGAGAGGCCAAATTCAATGAAGAGAAAGAAAAGAAAAAGAAGTGGCTACAAGACTCATGATCCACTTCATCTTGTAAATGCTCTGACTGGACATGAAGGAAGGGGTGGGGGAGGGGTGGGATTTTCATTGCAAGTAGCACGTGGTTTAAATATGAATGAATGAACCTGTGATCTAGTCCTTGTCTTGTAATTGTGGATTAATGTCAGCGTTAATCAGCCCCTCAATGGAAGAGAAAAGCCGAGCCCTTTCCCTTGCTGTACCATATTCAGCATTTGATTTACATGGGCTCCACCATTTATGTGTAAAATTTGAAATGGTTGTCAGCGCTCTTTGAGGAGCAAGCTTGAAGCCTCCACACCAGCTGCTGCTGGAGATTGAAAGCCCAACTGTGGGGCTGGAGGGGAGCTGGCTGGGCTTGCTGCAGAGGGAGGGTCGTGGACTCCACTGATGTCTGAGAGGCTGTGCGCCCCAGGAAGGCTGCAGAGTGAGCGCTGCTGGACCCACCAATCTTGGAGGGGCCCTGCGCCCCAGGAAGGGTTCTGAACAATGGGGACATTGTTACTAGCTGTTTGGTAGGTGTTCATTTCTATTTATAAGTGACTTTGAACTTTCCCTTGGCTGTTCAGAAATGTTACAGATGTTAGCTATTTATTGTTTGATACCTGCATGCTGAAACACTGCTTATGGTTGTCTTCACGTGTATGGACCTGTGTGAATGGGTGTATGTTTTGCACAATTTTGTGGCTGTTGTGATGTGCTTTGCTGCACAAAAAAAACTTTGGAGTTACAATTTGGAATATTACTGGAGGGTGGGTTGGGGAAGGGGGGATTGTGTAAATGTCAAGACAGGGAAGGAGTACAAATGCAAACTTTAACATTCTAGAGGTACGGAGAGCATGGAGGTCCCTTTTCTTAGACTCACCAATTTTTAATGGCGTTTCACGGGCTCTGGCCATGCTGACAGCTCGTGGAGTGAGGGAAGCCTTCTTGCTCCCCTGCTCCTTCCCAGATGATTCACTTACTTCAGTCTCTGCTACTGAAATTTGTAAAGGACCAAATCACTTTGTAGATTTTTTCTTTGTGTAATCCTGAAATCCTGGAAAATTCTATGGAATAGTTCTGTATATAGGGCACAGGTAAAGGCACTATCCAAAGGTTATTTATTTATCTATTTATTACCCTATGAGAATGCTTTGCCATAATCACAGTTAATCACAGGAAAAACTGAATTGTCACAGATGTAAATTAAGTCACTGGTTGGATTTGCTTGACCTGGATTCATTGTTCTTTAGTCTTGCTGAGCGATTTAGCAAGTGCTGGAAGTTCTCCCAGATAATACTCACATTGGTACAACGTATGCTTTAGTGCTCACCCTTAGGTAAGTCTCTAAAAGATTACCCTTTGGTGCACAAAAATGACACACTGGGCTACCAAACACCAAAGAACTGTGAGCAGTGGCCCCGATTGAGTTCCGGGATAGTTGGGACTCTGTTGTGAATACATTCTTTGCTAGTTTGAGTGCTTGTTTACTAAACATGTCGTGATAGGTGGTATTGCTAGACTCACATGGGTGCTTCCTCAGAGGTGTGAGGGGAAGACCAGAGTTTGCAACTCGCACTGCTTGCATCGATGTTTCTCACATTACTGTATTTTAGAAAATAGGGCTTGAGACTGATAATAACCCTTTACATTGTGAGTGTGTTTGCATTGTCTAATGACAGATAAATCCTTAACATTTCTCTTCACCTGAATACTAGACTAATTGTACACATTGTCTGTGCCATGAATGAGTGCGCTGTAGTTGGACCAAAATAAATGAGCTGTTGGGATGAAAGAATCACAATGCTTTTCCAGCAGTCAGTCCCTGGCGCCTAGATGTGTTCTAAGTGATGCAAGTGTCTAATTGTACCCTGGCCGCGTAGTTGGTGTCATTATATTGTAGCAGTTACAGCTCTAGTTTTTGATGCAAATTGGCCACGATGTGTGTGTGTCACTGCATGGCTTCTGAAAACAGAATGGATTTTCTGCAGCTGTTTCAAAGTTGTGGTCTGTTCTTGAATCCTCTATTAATTACTGTGTGTGAGCCAAAGGGAGCCGTGGTCAGGGTGGGCCCCCAGCCTGCAGGGAACTTTCTGGACTCCCACTCTTTGAATTGATGTAGGCATTTGGGCTCACTACTTGACCATTTTCACCCTATGAAACGTCCCCCACTTTGAAGCAAATACAATTCACAGTGCAGTGCACACAAAAACCTTGGCATAAGACAGAGAAGGTTCTTCTTATTCTGTGGATTGGTTGCTGTGGAGACGGATAACAAAGGGCAGGCTTCCACTTCTGGTATAATTGTGTAGCCCTCTTTTCTCTGGGCTTGACACCTGTCTGAATAAGAGTGATTAGAGCTGAATAATATCCCTCTCTTGGCTATTGAATATGTGGTTCACGTACAAAACTCTATGTCGAAGTAAAGTGTTCATGTTCATATGTACTGTTTGCTACTACATTTTTGAGGTTTCGTAAAACTTAATTTGTTTTTCACAATGTGAAACTGAAGGTCAAATAAATTATTAGAGATTTTCTCTTCATTGTGTGTGAGTCTTTATTTTAACACAATATAATTTTTGACTTGAAAGCTGTGCCTTTTCTAATTTAATCAAAGATCATTTGAAATAATTTCTGAATGCCCTTTATCTCACCATTTAGTCACATACTTAATGAAGACAATGTTCATTAAACTAAAATTATTTACCTTTTAGGATATTTCTTTAAGCAAAACAAAAGACCTCGCTTCTGGGTTATTCGTAGCTAAGAATATAAGAAGTTACGTACCATGCAGTGTTAAGGGAGCATATGAAGTAATTAATTTTTTACTCATGTGGATTATATTCTGATAAGGAAGCTGTGAGAGAAGAGACTGGATTCCATCCTCTTTTCATCTAACATGGCCTTAGAAATCATTTAACAGAAGTGGGAATATGTGCATATTTTTTTCCAGTAATGGCACAGGAAACCTTCTATTTCCTGTCTTACCCTCCTGGTACACCCAACTTCTTCCAAGGAGAAAAGCGCTATCCCGACTGGCTCAGCCTAAAGCCAGATGAAGTCTCTCACCTCCCACTTCATGATTGCTTCTGGTCACAATGAACTGCTCCTTTATCACTTGGCTTGGACCCCTTGTTGTTTTAGTGTGCAGAGTGATGTTGGGCATACTCTGTTTGGGATAGAAAATATGTACTACCTGATCAGAACCGTAGGAGAGCTCACAAGTAGGCAGAATGCAATTACAGCCCTTGGACTCTGACCAAGATGCCAGAGCAGACGCCTCAGGTATTACATTAAGACCATCCAATTCCATGCTCGTGAAGAGCCACACTTTGGGAACAAGTCTTGAGTCCTCAGATGCCGTGGGCAATTGCTGATGACCCATGGAGACCCTGCTGCTGACAGTACCCAGTGCTGTGTGACAAGGACATTGAGAAGGTAAGCAGTGAGGAGTTGACATGTGGTACTTGGATGTTCAGAAAAGACTTGGTATATTAATCGTTGGAAGAGTTTTGAATGATTAGCATAGAGATGATTGGGAACCACCTTTTGTTCCCTGGAGTTCTTTATCATCTCAGTTGGGACATGTAGGTAGACCGGCGTAAAGAAGATGCTGCAAATAATTAATTTTCATGCATTTGGAAATGTCATTCAGATGACTTCAAACAGTGGCTGTATTCAGATTGCCTCTGGCTGCATGTGATAGAAATCTGGTGATGGTGGTTTAACTACAATGGTGAAACTGGCTGTCCAGGGCTGGGCCAGCGGGATAACCATCGGGGGGCCAGGGCTCTTTCTGCTTTGCCATCCTAGATGGGGGCCTTCCATCCCCCTGCTTACAGGGTGTCAGCTGCACCTTGTGGCATTACTCATGCTTCCCAGGAAGCAAGGATAGGGGCAGAGGGGGAAAGGCATGTACCTGATGAAGCAGTTCCTTTTTCTTGGGACAGTAATAGTTTTCCCAAAAGGCCCACCTAGGAGCCTTACACTTGTCTCTGGAGAACTAGGTCATGTAAACTTCCAAAATGAGGGAGACTGAGGAGAGGAGTACTTTCATCAGGGCACGTTGCCACACAAAAAGGTGATTTTGTTAGTAACGATGAAAGGGAGAACATGGTGGATCAGCAGATGCACAGGATTTCATTGTTAATGGATAATCAGAGGGTCATTTTCAGCAGTAGCCCTGTTGTTTGGTTATGATGTGCTGAGGATGCACTAAACATGCTTTACAGTCATCTCATTTAATTCTCACAACAAATGGAGGCTTCTTAACATCTCTGAGTCTCAGCTCCTTCATCTGTAAAATAAGGATAGCTAATAATTTCTAATAGAAAGATTTAGTAATATCACAAATTTAAGAGAAAGCACTGAGCTTGATGCCTGGCACATAGTAGGTTCTCAGTAATTTCCAACTGTCATTTCCAACCACTGGGAGAAAAACATCCAATATATCTAAATCTGACTGCCTTTTCCATTGCTTTATTTCATCCTCACAGCAACCCTGTGACAGTGGGCACTGTTATTGCCTCTATTTTGCAGTTGAAGAAACAGGTTGTGAGAGATTATCTAACTTGCCCAAGGGGGTGGTGGAGCCTGGATTTCAAGGCATGTCTCTGACCTGCTCCTCTTGGTCCGTGAATGTGAAGGACGGTGACTCATGGGGCTGAACCTCACTGGGAAACCTGGCACTGCCTGCATCCATCAGGCCTGGGATGACTTGACTTCATGAGAATGTCCGAGGAGGCTGCAGCTGGGGAGTGCACTCCTGGACATAAGGACTAAAGAAGCACACAGCAGGAGTTCACATCACAACTCCAAATGTTCCTAGACAACAAGTTTTTGAAAATAAAATTGTGAAGAATTTAAAAATAAATGGAGGCCCCTAGGTGGTTGTTACACTTGACAATTCATTGAGCTGTACACTTAAGCTATGTGTCCTTTTCTGTTTGTATAATGATTATTGACTGAGAGATTGAACATACAAACAGCCAGTGGACATATTAACAGCCAATGGTCAGACCACAAGAATATAGAGACCATATAAAGATAGAACTGTGACCTACAACCTACAGCAGCCAGCCCAGGATGCCAGCCTGCCATCTGCAACTCAGATCTGTGGGAGTCTGACCACTGGCCCAGGAAGTGAAATAATGACCCCTGTAACAATTGGCCCCAAATGGCCAGGACTGGGTTAATAACATACCTTCCCTAATTTTTGTCCTGGCTTCCAACTTAGGACCAACAAGAGAAAGCCGAGGAAGCACCCCAGACAGTATAGAGGATGTCCTGCTTGTAGCTGCCCAGGCCACCAGCCTCCAATCCGGGCACACCTGGAGCTTTCCCTTTGCTCTGTGCTAGAGCTTTCCCTCTCCTCTGCCTGCTTTTGAGTCTCTGCCAAAATGCAAGTGACAGTAGCAGACTTTCTTGCTAGATAGCAAGCTCTGATCACAATGACCCATGTTCCAGGGAGCAGTGGCACTTCACATTTGGCTGGTCTTTGTTTAGTTCCATGGACAGATGTTTGTTCAATGAAATAATTAAATACTTGAATCAAAAGGTTTGTAAAAATGAGGTAGGGACCAACACTGCAGGTTCTGGGGAAGCAGGATTTTCAGAGGATGCTGTTTTCATCATGACTATTAGAATAAAATGACAGGTACACAATACATATAGTATGAGAAAAATGGATTTTGAGTTAATGGGTTTGAGATTAGGACATCTGGTTTGTTGAAAAGAGAGCAATTGCTTTGTTGGGGAATATTTTGAATAAAGCGAGAATACTTAAGTAAGTTCTACAGCATATTCATGGTACACATGACTGTATGAATAAATACAAAAACTTAGCAGTTAATTCCTGGTCTTGCCTGTCACAAATCTTAAGTGCTTTGCCTGTCTGACACAGACTCAGACAGCCATCTGTCCTGCATTTGAGTTTAATCATAGACAATGAATTTTAAAGCTCTGTTATTTGTCAGATGTTGGACAACTAAGCACAAGACCTAACTTTCAGAGGGGAAAAAAAAGTACATTGAGGCATGACTATGAATTAAAAGCAATTTGACTAAGTAAATTAAAATCTACCATAATCTCATCCAGCTCTCCTTACAGGCCAGTTCTGTGAGTCTGGGGGGAACTGAATGAGACAAAGTTTCTGCCTTTCTCTCTTTCTCTGGTCCTGTCTCCTTGGCAACCATAACCTTTATCTGCACGAAGATGGAGGACTGCGTCAAGGAAAGGCAGTTGGAATCTCTGCAAAGTTTCTCATTAACCCTTCTCTTGTGTTATCAGATGATTTGTTTTGTTATGAGAAATTCTTCTACACTGCCTTTTTTAGATGGTGCTGGGAGTGTTTATTGGATAGTCTAGAAAGGCTCAGAGGTTTTTCTTTTTTTCCGCATGATACGCTAACATTTTAACTGCAAAGAAGATGAAGTTCACCTCTTGGTAGACACAAGCTCGGCACCTGTAAAATGAGAACTATGGCATCTCGCTCTCTAACTGAAATGTACGCCAGCCTGGGATCGCACACACCTCTTTCTTACTCAGCCACCCACATACATTCTGGCCAAGGCATTGCTGCCAGAGAACATTGCGAGAGAATAAATCTTGGAATTTTGAAATCATCTGTACACTCTGAAGGGAAGGAAGGCAGAGAGAGGAAAAAGCAGAAGATACACCCAGGGAGGTGTCCAGTGGGTGGTGGCCCACTTCACATCACTTTCTGGTACTCCCTGGGGTGTACCTGTCCAACAGATGGAGGGGGACCAACCAGCACCTTTTTTCAAAATGGAAATACCTGAGGCCCCATTTCAGGGGCTTTATTCACACATCCATGTGAATTAGGCCACCCCGAAGGGTGGGAGGGAGGTAGGAATGCTGACAAGCTGTTCCAGGAAAGCCTGGGGGCACTTGCCTGAGGGGGACTCACACACTAGGTGTACTCAGGGGAACACGAGGAGTGGGAAGCCTGTAGGTGTGCGAGCAGCAGAGAGAAGAATGAGAAAGGGGAAATTTTCCTTCAAAATATTATGGTTGGGGAAGAGGACGCGATGAATAAGTAGAGCATAGAAGACTTTTAGGGCCGTAAAACTATTCCATGTGTACTGCAATGGTGGAGTCATGTCATTATACATTTGTCAAAACCCATACAATGTACACCAAGAGTGAACTGTAATGTAAACTGTGGACTTTGGGTGATAATGATGCATCCAGGTAGGTTCTCAGCAGATGTAGGTTGTGACAAATGCACCACTGGGGTATGGGATGCTGGTGCAGGGGGAGACTGTGCATAGGGGAGTGCATATGGGAACTCTGTACTTTGACCTCAATTTTGCTGTGAACCTCAAACTGCTCCAAAAATGTCTGCTAAATGATGAGAAATCACATTAGAAGCAAAAGGAGTCTTTTGGGGGATGTGAAATAAATTGTTTAAACTAGTAAGGCATATAGTATATATACTGAAAAATGTTACTATGAGTGGACTCCATGTACTGGAAAGAGAAAACTCTTCCTCTCATTCCTGCTTTCTTTGTCCCAGGACCCA